GTCTGGGCGGTTCCGCCGCCCGCGTCCTCCGCGGCGAGAAAAGCCCCGTTCGTAAGTAGGGATCTGACGTAAGTCGGATCCACGTAACTCGGGGAATGCCTGTATAAAGTTCAGTCTATAACGTCATGTCCTTGCATATTGCTTTCCCTTAGTCTGTGTCCTGTTTTTCCCCTCCATAAAAATGTTAATTAACAATATGTAAACAGGCAAAGTTCTAAAATATGGACCTTACTGATAGTTTCCTGTTGAACCTCTCTAGTCCAGCTCACTCAGACGTGACTTTGCTGACCCAGAGACTTTGCCAAACCACAGTAGGTCAGTATTGTCTAGCAGCATTACCAACACTTCCACTGATTACAGGGTTCTGAAAAGAATTTAGGGGTAAATTAGAGCTCTCAGCACAGAACACTGAGAGCCAGAACTAGTGGTTGTCAACAAACTTTATGGGACTGTGGGAAACTTGGCCACAGTCATGATAGGCGAGCATCCATCTAAATAAAATCTTGCCAGACCAGTGTGTTGGACTAGAGACCTGTACATCCTTATTAAAATTATGTTCAGAATTATTTGGACAGTATTGTGTTGAAGATTACATTTAGGGGTTAAAATATTTGGCATTCCAGCAAGATGAAATGACAGACTCCTAAAAATCTTCTTGGACTTAACTTTGTACATGATAAGTAGAGTCTTTGAGGTCAGTAGCATTACTCATAGTGCAGAAAGTTAAACGTGCATTATTTTGTGCAAGTCTAAAGTGAATCAAGTTAATTGAATACAGTGAATCTGTTTGAGTACACTGCAAAGAATCATGTGACCTCTTTCGCAAGGTTGTAAAAGTTCGAGAGAGACATTTTGCAAAAGGAACAATTTCTCTCCATAAACTGCGTCAGTTATGCTTGAGGGACAAATCCTCCTCTTTTCCATTAACCGAGGTACTGTTTGGACATGCACAGGTTAGACGCTCTTGTAAAAGGAAATTATGAAGACTGTAAAAACGAGGCCAAGTGAGCAAACAGTTTTAATAACATCACATGCAAAATACCTTCCTCATGATGGTAATTTTGTGTCTCACTGAAGATATTACTACTTGGGCAGTGTTGTAATCGAGTATGGATGGGGCTATCTTGCTCCTTTCATTTACACAGAATTAGCCATTTGATTTGTTCTAAGTAAAAACGTATGGTGCACAGAATTCATGGGGCTGCAGCTTGTGCTATGCCACAGTCATGTAGCTTAACTGGCAAGAGCTTAGAGTAGCTATATTATCTGCAGATGACTAAACCATGAATGAGTTATGCCATTTCTCTTAGGAAAGGGCAAATGAAACTTTATATCAGGATGGGCAATAATTTTTAAGAGGGCCACTTCATGAATTTCTGAAGTGGCCTTGGACTACCCCAGAAGGGGTGGGGCCAGGAGACTTCTTATGCCCCCCTCCCCAGAGCCTGATTGGTATGGGGAAGTGTGTGAAGGCTCCCCCCTCCCCCGAGATAATTTCCTGCTGTTTTAAAACAGCTGGTGGTTTCCTTTAGGTGCGGCATGGGAAGAGCCCTCGCATGCTCCCTATCCCCAAGCCTGGGGGCAGGGGAGCGTGTGAGGTCTCTTGCCCCCTGTCCCCGCCCTGCCAGGGGCTCACGGCAGCTAGAGAGAAACTTTGCATACTCCTCTGTCCCCAGGTCTCAATTGGCCTGAGGGCGGGGAAGCAGCAGAGCGGCCACAGGCCAGATCCACCAGCTTGGCAGCCTGGATCCTGCCTGCAGAGACTCCTTTGCCCTTCCCTGTTTTATACAATACTGCCTGTAATAGGAAGAGAGCCTGAAACACAAGCCCTTGTATTAGAGGCCTGATAGGTAGCAGGACATGCTTACAGAGTCTGCCAAGAATTGGGCTGATACTGCAAAAATACACTTTCCTAAGAAATGCTAAGTACAAAGAGTCCTCTTGCAAACACATCCTGATACTAAGTGGTACCAGACCATCCCAATATCAAGGACGATACAAAAACATTCCCCAAGGATAACAAACATACCGACCCCTCGTAAAAGAGAAGGTCAGGATGGCAGTAGGTAATTTATTTCAGGGTATAAAGGTGCATCCTAGAGGGACTATCTTTGGGCAGCCTACGGGGCAGCGGAAAGTCTTGCTGCTAACTGAGCTGTGTTCATAGTCACAAACATACATGTCTTAGTGCTCTTGTAGGGCCTGTCAGGTGCCATTACCGTGCTTCGTCAACAATAAACCTAGCTGGGTGCCTTCATAGCTTAATGCATCTTGTGGTCAATGGGCGGTTCACTCAAGGTCTGTGGTGCTGGCTGTCTGCACGTGCAGCCAGACACCTGACCACACTGCCAATATGCTCTCTGACACACATTGAAAAACAAAGGCTCATAAAAAAAACTGTTTGAGTTCCTGTAAAGCTATGTTGCCTTATACCCTGAGTCACAATAATGATCCATGCCCATGGCATCTGGAAAGCAGTTAGGGCCTTTCCTACCTAGCTAAGTGACAACTAGTGAACTGCCATGAAACTCATTCCCCAGTAGCTGCAGGGAGCAGGAGAGTATTTTACTGACTCACATTCTGGCTGGCAGAGTAAAAAGAAGGAAATGGTGGCTAAATGAAACTTTTGTGCAAATGTTGAATCTTTGGAATAGTAGGGAGAAATTTAATAGATTTTGTATCTCTGAGTTTTTTACATGTACTATAATGAAGTACATTTATTCCCAGGCCTGCAATTTATTCTTAGCCTCTAAAAGGAAAGTAGCTAGTAGTCCATGCTGTCAGGCCCACATTGTGATAGAGTGAATCACAGAAGTCCCTGTCGGGTTGTCCCCTGGTGTACTGATCAGGACACTGCTGCCTTCCTGCTCTCTCGGGCTCCTCACTACCCTGTACCGCTAGACTAGATCCTCTGGTCTCTCCCAGCCAAGGCACAGAGTTGGGGTTACTGCCTTGCTGCAGAGCAACACAGACACTGAACCAGGTCAGCTCCAGGAGGACTCTGTTCTAAAGGGCTTTGCACCCAGAAAACCAATGCCCAAAAAAAGACTAAAACCCCCAAATAAATTCCTCTTAATCTGTATAAAAGTTTACATGGAGAACTTGAAAGTTCACCTTCTTATCAAATAGAGATATGCACAGTGGTTGTTCCCCCCAGGTTACAGTTATTTTCACTGGACTTGATAATAAACAAAAGTGTTGTTAAATATTAAAAGTAGGATTCAAGTGATTGCAAGTGAAAACAGATCAAAGTAAGCTACTAAATTAAAATGAACAAAAAACTATTAACTAATTCTAATCCACCAAGAGACTTATTACATGCAAATTCCTACCCTACACAGCTGTTCTTATTTCAGGCACAAGCTTCAAGTCAAAGTTGATCTTTGGGTCTACAGCTTCTTCAAAGTTCTTTGTATCCTCTTAGGGTGTGGCACGCAGTTTCAAAGGCCAGATGAAAACAAAAGCTGATTGCTTCCCATTGCTTAAATATACTGATGGAGGCTGCCATCAGAAAGGATTAATGAGGGGAAAATAATGGTGTTAAACCCTTTCCATTACCAACAGAGGGTGAATGATGACAACCACAATCTCCTGCCGATGTCCCCCATTGGTGACCAGTAAACCTGGAGTACAGATATTACTGTAGCTGTAGAAACAAGGCCCTTTAACTAACTTCTTTTGTCTCTTCAATAATACAGATGGCTGAAGACTGCTGTTTGACAATTGTAGGAAATCTTATAACTCCAGGCTCTAAACTAGGCCTATCATTCGAGCAGAATGAAGACAAGCAGAATTGGTGTGTTAATCCTGATGGCAGGATCCTTAGCAAAATGAAACCAACGTTAGTTTTAGATATCAAAGGTAAGAACACGTTGCCTTTCAATGTGATTTTAATTAGTCCACTGTAAATGTTGCATATTTGCTGAAAGTGTTCCTGTAGATTAAGGATGACTTTATAGTTCATAGACTTTAATTTGGGATCTGAAGGGTCGGTTCTGATCATCTAATCTGACCTCATGCATTGCAAAAGATATAGGATGTCACCCAGTTATTCTGATATTTATCTTAAGAACCCTTGGGAATTATCGGTCTTGTGTTTCTTTATGTCCCCTAGTGCATGTGTAAGTATTCAGAAATCCCCTATTATTCTGACATGTTTAACTTTGATGATGTACATAAAGTACTTCTTAATATAAAGCTGTGATTTTTTTACTTTAGCATATTTTTCTTTTCATTTGTATGGCATGAGTTTTCTAACACATGCAGAGTTGAAATACAAAAAGGACAAATAACTTAAATAGTTGTTCCGTTATTATGATTAGTACTAGATCTGAGATTTGTATCCCTTACTATATATTTTACAGCTGCTTTTGTTATAAGTTTGTTTCATTTAGATGTTATCCTTGTTTTTGTAATTTTTATAAGATGAATACTAAATCCATAGGTATGATAAGCAGCAGAATGAACAGCTCACTACTGTTGTGCTTAACCAGTGTTCTCCAGTTTACTCGCAACTTCTCTTTTAAAAGCAAACATTGTCTCCCTCAAGCCCCTCATTTTAAATGAGTAAAGTTAAAACTAATTTTGTAGTAGTTTTGGGAATAGTCTGAGTAAACTATTATTGCTTTGAGACATATTGGCAAAAATGTGAGAACAGGCTTATGCAGCGTTTGCCTATATAGTTCCTGTCACAAATAAACACTAATTCTTTTACCTCCTGTGCATACTAAAATTAACTCACAATTTTAACTGTGTAATATCTAATCCTGCAACAACCCAGATGGAGGAATTTTTGTTCCCCGAACGAAAACGGTGTGATGATTAAGTAATAATCTATCAAAAAATCCAATTTAGGAAATGTCTTTATTAAATAACTACACTGTGCAGAAGTGTTTGTCTTAATTGAACCACTGTGTAAAAGGCAAAAAATATTAGTGTGCTGGCTCATCTTCAGTGAAAGACCTTAAACATAGTGGGTATGTCTAGACTGGCAAGATTTTGTGCAAAAGCAGTGGCTTTTGCGCAAAAACTTGCCAGCTGTCTACACTGGCCATTTGAATTTGCGCAAGAGCACTGACTTTGTAATGTACAAAATCAGTGCTGCTTGCGCAAATACTTTCCCGCTCCCGCTCGGGGAAAAAGCCCTCTTGCGCAAGAGGGCCAGTGTAGACAGGGAAGAACTGTTTTGTGCAAAAAAGCCCCGATGGCTAAAATGGCGATCGGGGCTTTCTTGCGCAAAATTGCATCTAGACTGGCTATGGATGCTTTTGCGCAAAAGCACTTTTTGCACAAAAGCATCCGTGCCAATTTAGACGCGCTTTTGCGGAAATACTTTTAATGGAAAAACTTTTCCGTTAAAAGTATTTCTGCAAAATCATGCCAGTCTAGATGCAGCCAACATGTACTTTGAGTGAATATTTGAAAACTATTTTCAGAATATCAAACTGAATAGCTTCAAACAGCAAAATGTAGATTGACACACACATTGATTCAACAGGCTAGCTTGCATTAGAAAATGCAGTGTCTGTCTGTCTGTTCGCTTTCTGATTTTAACTGCCAGGCTCAAAAGTAGAAGGGCAGAGAGCCTTGAACATTTTGTTGGGGGAAAAAAAAAAGTTTTAACATTTGTTGTATATTTAAATGCAGGACATAACTGCAGCTCTGACCATTGAATAGTAATAAAACGTAACCCAAGACACACCAGTGTAAAGTAGCCCAACTCTGATCCCACACTGGCTTAAATTGGGAGGAACTTGCAGTGAATCAGAATTGGTCCCAAGACTACCAAGTACAAGATTAAAAAGGAATTTATCATGAGGTTCTGCAGGAGCAAGTGAAGTTGGTGAAGGCGCTCGAGCTGACAATGTCAGGGGGTTATCATGGTGGGCAGAGTGTGTCATCTACTCTGGGAATTGCTTTCTTGCTGGATCCAGACAAAGCCAGATTATCCTGGTCTGCAGGCATGGTGCAGAGCCTGTCTCTTTTCTCAGACATTTGCCTGGGTGGATGGAATGTG